GGGGGTCCGAACCGATGCACCAGTCACCTTCAGTTTTCAGAGAGCGACAGTGCCAGGGCAGCCTGCAATGCTGCCTCCTCATCGATATTATAGTCCTGAAAACAGAGAGTGGCCAGTCAGAAGAGCCAGTACTGACCACACAGCCTCCTCAAAGCAGTGGGAACAGCCAAAGGAAGGAGCCTTCCTGCTCCTGATCCTCCCACCGGGCTGCAAACAGCACAGCTCCCCATCACCTCTGGCAAAGGGGGCTGTAAGGTCCCAGGAACAACACACTCTTTGGGGTATTCTGTCTCTGTGTGATTCTTTAGGGTATTCTGTCCCTTGCCTGCTTGGGCCGAATCCGGTAACATCACCTCTGCTCTTAGACCCAGCTGTGAGCAGGGGTGAAACAGGCCCATGTGAGAAGCAGTCTCACATCTCCCCAGGTGAACCCCCAAGGGGATTTTTCAAGGGAAGAGTTTAATGGAGCACGTGGAAGAGGTGACCTCTCTTCACAAACCATGGAAACATTTCTCTCTCCTTTTTCAGTGTCTTTTTCCTGGGTACGTATTTGATGAGGATCAGCTCAAACACCTCTGCAGGGCAGGCTGGGGAGCCCAGCCTCGCATCCACGAGCTCTCTGAAGGGAGGCTAAGGCGTGCTGCGTGCATCCTGCAAACCCCGAAGGAGCTGCCACCCCCTTTCCCTCCTGCAGGGATGGGCACCAAGCCAGGCTGGTCCTGGCATGCACGGGCAAGGGCTGGTTTCATCTCCCAACCACTCAGCAGAGGATACAGGGAAGACGACTCGGCTTCAGCTCACGACCGTACTCACCACAAAGGTGTCATAGGAGAACTTGTGCCGGTGGAGGAGGTGCTGCAAGAAGTTGGCGCTTTTGTAGCTTGGGTCCCCCCAGGGCATGGCTGAGCAGACTGGGCACACCTGCAGCAGGCAAGGACGGGGGAAACATGAGTCGTGGACACAGATCCCTCTGCCTGCCCCCAGGAGGGGCAGAGGGGTCCCCCCACAGAAGGGAATTCTTGGGGGGGAGGGGGTGCAGTCGCAAAACAAGTGAAGTGAACAGCAGTTCCCCTCTGTGACAGTGCGTGTCCTGCAGCAGGATGCACTAGGTAGGGGTTTGTCCCTTTTTCCCTCCTGCCTCGGCACAACCCTCAGCACACAAAACTTCCGGGTACACAGCCCAGACTGCTTTCAGCCTGACAATAAGTTACACGTGTGTGCACAAGCACCTCTGAGATGGTGCCACAGCTGCAAATTCCCCACCTGTCACCTATGGTCAAGCTGACCCAATAGGACTGGGGGAGTGCAAACCCAGCATCACCCAGGTCTCAGGCACAGGGGGAAGGAGGTGGCTCATTGATAAACCCAGGGAGTTTATCAAAGCTTATGGAGGCAGCTCCCTACCTCTCGTCAAAGAGATTTAAAACAAATTACATGACCTAGACACATAGCTGTGCTTTATTCGCAGCAGTAGCTCTGCATGCAGACAGCCTTAGATGTGGCATCGGTTAAGATATATTTGGATTTCCAAGGGTTACCCCACACAGCACCGTCCCAGCCCAGCACGCTGGCCTCGCTCACCACTTTGTTGGGGTCGTTGCGGTGGTTCTCCATGCAGTGCTTGACTAGCTCCTGCTGGTCCAAGTTCCGGGCCCCGCAGTACGGACACACAAACGTTGAGCGATTGGGAATATTGCTAAGGAGAGCAAGAAGAGCTCAGACCCTTGGGAAGGATCAACTTCTCCTGAACTAATCCAGCCTCCCTTGCTGCTTCCTGTTCTGTTTTGTCCCACCCACCCAAGGCAGAGACCAGATCAGCCTGCCCCAGTTCCCAAAAGCTGCTGGGAGATTAAATCTTTGGAGGTCATTAGTGTGCCATTCCCACCCCAGCCGCAGGCCAAATTACCCTGGTTTGGCTGGTCCTTCCTTGTGGGTCACTCTCTGAAACAACACAGGGCAGCGCCTGGGCTGCAGATGCCATGAGGGAAAGGGTGCCAGTGTGTCCTCTTGAGACCAGCCCAGGATAACGAGAAAGGGAAACGCGTCCTTGGATTTTAGGGCTTATAACAAAGATCGATGTGAGCATCTGTGAGGTTTGTAAGCAGGGACAGGTTGCCCTTTCCTCATGCATGGCAATACCTGGGGATGGGCTGGGACGTGGGGACGACAGGGACGAACTTCGGGCAGTTGGCCATCTGCTCTTGCACCTTTGCACAGGATGAGACGTGAGACCGCATTTTTGCTAGGGTCACCTAGAGAACAAGGAGAAGACACATGTTCCTGGAGGCTGCAGGAATCCCTTCCCCTGCCAGATGCAGCACTGGAACCCTGGTCCAGTTTGGTAGAGCAGTTTTGGCCACACTTTGACTAAATATCGGTCCACGCAGGTTGATCCCCACCTGCATGCTGCACGATCCCTTCCTCCCCTGCAGAGCAGGGGGATTTGGGGTTGCATGCTCCCAGCACAACATACCCCCAACGGTGCTATGCAGCATGGCTGACAGGTGGTAAACCCAGACTGCTGACATAATCACATGGGATCATTTCTGGGCCACAGCCAGGGAGTTAAAGGAAGATCCCCAAAGTTTACGGAAGCCAGAAAGGACATCAGCCCAACTCGTAGAGACACATCATGAATCACAGCTCTACAGCTGGTCCCAGAGTTGTCCCAGACCAGACTGCCCCGGGCTGAATCACGTGGCGTCTATTCCCTGCTGCTAGTTCAGCTCCCCAGTGGCAGCACCTTAAGCAAGAGCTAAAACCTTACCTCCATAGGGAACAGCAGAGCTGGTTTGTCTCAGCCTCTCCCGTGTTGCAGGAAAACCTCAGCATGCATCTGAAGGTCCCCACTGTCTAATAATAGCTTCAGTCTTCTGATAAATGCAGCTAGGAGAGCGCCTTTCTCTCTGCACAACCCTGCTTGCCTCGGGCAGCCATGCCTGCCTGGCTCATGGTAGCAGCCTTCCCACAGGGGCCACAACACCTTGCACATGTAACCTGGGGGGCCACTGAACAGGGAACTTTGCACACCCAACTACGGATAGCAAGTGACCTCGCTATCCCTGGCACTGCGGCTACAGGGGCAGCAGCCACACCCCACCCCACCAAACAAGCTGTGCACACATGGGAGGGAGCAGCTCCTTCACAAGCTTTACCTTCTTGCTGCAGCCTCTGCAGGGAGCCTTGTAGGACGATAGCTGTTTCTCCACGTTGGAGGCCTTCTCCACCTTCTTGGGGTCAAACGGCATGCGGCAGAGCGGGCACAGTGGAGAGGGCACTTGGAGGCAGGGCTGCAGGCACTCTCCGCAAAACCTGGGGGCATGGAGAGCAGTTTCAAGCACCTCAGAGGGAACTAGTGGCATCCCAGCCCAGGAGAGGGGGACCAGGACCCTGGCCCCGGGGCAGGACCTGCTCCCTGGGAATCTTGCTCGCTTTGGGGTGCCCTCCCTGGCAGGATCCAGGACAGATTTGAGGATGCTCAGAGGAGCCTAAACCACAGAGGAAACAGCAGAGCCTGCACCAGAGGGTGTGGAACCAGCTATCCCGCCTGGATTCTTCCCACGGGTCTAACAGGCTCAAGGCCCGCTGTGCCAATCTGCCTCCGGCCACGCATGCCCTGTCCACGTAGCGAACCTCGGCATCCCGGCGGCTCTTGGCCGCCCTGGGCCGAGCCCTGCTTCCCTGCACTGGGCGTCTTACAGCCATCCCCACCGACCCACAGCACTGTCTAGCATACAGGGCAGCCTCAACACCGAGGACTAAAAAACTCCAGAAGGGGCACTTGGAGCAACCAGACAGAGCAGGCAGCTTGGCACTGGGTACGAGACTGCCAGACTCACCCCAAACCCCATGTCCTTCCGCATGCCCGTGCGGAGAAGAAGCCGCTCTGCAGGAGCACAGCTCTCTGCCATGTGTCCTTCAAACACTCCTCCACACACACGCCAAACAGTGATCCGTACACATGTCCGGGACTGAGCCACGGTGCACAGATAAAGCTGCTGCCCGGAGACCCGTGGCCAGGCACTAAGAGCTGCTCACGTGCCTGGGCTGCAAGTGGAGGGACACAGACTAAACAGAGCCAAACAATAACCAGTGCTGAACATCCAGGCTGCACAGGAGTAAAGCAAGTGCGTGAGCTACAGATTAGAGCCTGGCTCACCTCCTCTCAAGGTCCTTATGCCTGCAGGGACAGAGATGAGAAATCAAAGTAGCAGGGAGGAAATGCAGGGAAGCCACCCTCAGGGTTAGCAGCACGCAGGGAGGAGAGAGCAGGCTGCCTCTCCAGCCCAGCGGCTCCAATTGGATGGGTCTAGCGCATTCACGTTTCCCCTTTGCCCAAGTGTAAAAGGGAGCACCACTGAGACTGAGCAAAGCAGTGGTCCGAGCTGAAACCACCAAAATCCCATCCCACGCTCCCAGCCAGGGGCAAGAGCTCAGACTCCTGCATCAGCACTGCTCTGTTGAAACTGCCCCTTAGGACAAGCACCAGCAAGTCTGAACGGGCGACACATGGCTTGGACCTGCCCGAACCAGGAAGTACAACCCCACAGGAACCTCCACGCACACACCTCCTTCCTCCATGCCCACCCCACACCAGGTGACCGAACCCCCTCCCCAAGCACGACAGGAGGTGGCCTGGGCGCTCCCTTTCACCCTCGGTCTCTGGATGCCTCTGCAGTCCCACAGTGAGGCAAACCGACTTGGTCCCCGCAGAGTCAACAACTTCTCCAGCGCTCTGCCTAAAGGGGCCACGGACGCAACGGGCCACTGCTAAGGCCGCAGCAAGCCAAGATCCCCTTGTCACCCGCAGCAGCCCTGGCCATGCAGGTGTCATGACGGTGTTAACAGGGATTGGGAACCTGTGGGAAATACTGCTCCTGCCCTCACCATCTGCACAGAGCTGCATCCACAGGTGGATCCAGGGCCCATTGCTTGTGTGGTGGCAGATATCCACCCGCAGATGAAATCTCTCTTACGAAGCCTGGGGGAACCGCCGGGGGTGTCACACAGAGCAATACTTTGAGTCAGCTGAGATCTAAACCTCTTCATGCCACCCCCAGGCCTGCGACAAGAGCAACCACTCCATCCCCGCCCCTCCACCTACCAATTGCCTTTACAAAGCCATGTCACCCTGAACCAGGGTACGAAACACTGCTCAACCTTCACAGCTGTGCTGGGACCAGGCACGGGAACGCAGCCACCACCTCATCCCTGCTTGACACATGCTGACTCTTCACATGAGCAATGACTAAGCCCTTCCCAGTGCAGATTGCTCCTTCACGGGGTTCCCAGGCGGCCTCCTAACACACTTAGGGCTGCACCGTTGTGAGGTGGCAGAGGAGCCATGCAAGCCTACGGCTCGCAAGGGGCAAGTCATTGCAGAGATGCCCTCTTGCTCCAGCTCCCCAACTGCACTCAACCACCCCGGTGGGCTGAGGGTTGCCCTCAATCCCAAATGGATGAAGCCAGACCACGCACAGGTGCTGAGCGAGGCCAGGGTCTCAATGTGAGACCAAGCTGCTCCAAAAATCGGCTGTGAAAGGGGAACTGAGGAGATATCACCAAAAGAGTTTTCCTCAAGGCCTCTAGAACGAGTGGCTGAAACAGGGCCACAGACCTGCCATCAGCACCTACCCACGCTGTCACCTCCTTGTCCCCGGCCCCCTTGTACCCAAAGCCAAGCTACCAGTCAGCACCAGGGTCCCAGGTCCAGAGTCACACAGGTAAACCCCAGCTCCCCCACAGCAGGACTCCAAGCTCTCCTGCCCCTTTTCCAGCTTTGGCAACCTCCTCCCGGTGTGCCAGGGGACCAGAGGAGTAGGAGGAGCTCCAGCCCAGCTCAGCCAACGCACAACCCCTCGGGCAGCCTGGATGCCCGCACAGAGGGCTTGGGGCAGGATTTCCATCCAGGCAAGACCCTAGCCCGCTCTGCCAGGGAAAGGGTGCCAGGAGTCAGGCAGAGTTTGGGGGGAGACCCCCTGCCATGGGCTCCTGGGGGCACCCCCCTGCTTCCCCATCAGCCCCAGGGCAGGAACAGGGCAACAGCCCAGAGCCTGAGCAGCCCCTGCAGAGGGAGAAGGGGGGGTGCTCAGAGGGGTGAGGACCCCTGGGGGCACCCCACAGTGAGAGGCCCAGCTTTGGGGGCTGGGGAGACCGAGGTCCAGGCTGGGGGATGAAACCCCTGCAGAGGGAGAAGGGGGGGTGCTCAGAGGGGTGAGGACCCCTGGGGGCACCCCACAGTGAGAGGCCCAGCTTTGGGGGCTGGGGAGACCGAGGTCCAGGCTGGGGGATGATAAGGGGTCCTGGTGAGGGGAGCACATGGGGGGCCCCAGGCTGAGGAGGGGAGGGGGGAGGGACGGGAGCAGAAAAGGGGGCCAAGGCCAGCTTGGGAAAGGTGCCTGGTGCCAACGGAGGAACGGGGGTAGGAAGAGGGTCCCAGTACCAGCTGGAGGAAGGTGATGAGAAAGGAGTCCTGGTACTGGTGTGAGAGGAAGACCCAGCCTGGGCTGTAGCGCAGGAT